GTCTTCAAAGGCAATTTTTTAAACTTTTTGTTGTTTATTGCCTACCTATTTCTTATATCACGTGCTTTCTCAGTGGAGGCAGCTTTTCCCCCAAGAGGGCCAAAATTGGTTCTTGGGAGTCAACAAAATCTTACCTTTTTGTGTGTATAAATCACAGATACACACGGGGCACACAAGCAGATATATAGTATATCTGTGGTGGTAAATTTTCGTGGAGGGCATCCTGGGTAGGGGCAATAATGGAAGTTTGACGTGATACATCAGGTCATATCACTGGTCCTTTCTCCCTCTTCTACACTTTGCCCATCTCCTCAACTTGCCTTTGGTTACCCTGAATGGTTCTGCTTATATTTTCCAGACCTGTTTAAAGTTCTTTTCCTGGTCTCCCCGGTTTTGCTCCAGCCGATCTCCCCTCGCACCTGATCCATCGGGGCCTCACGCTGATCCTCCCACATGGTCATCCAGTGATCTGTCTCTTCCTCGCCCCCCACCCATCTCTTCTTTCAGCTCTGCCTCTATTGGGAGTGAAGTGCAGTTTCTCCCTCTGGGTTCTTCAGGGCAACCTTGTCATCATCCTCGTGTGGGAACACTCATTGCATGCAGTAAACCAAGGAGCAGGGTTGGGGGATATTCCATCCAACCGAAGCTGTGCTATGTTTTAGGATGTGAGGAGATTGAATTCAGCCAGCTCATCTTCAAAGAAGACTTTCTCAACGACAGATACTTCGGGGACCGCCTGCGCGGGCAGATTGCCACGGAGGAGCTGCACTTCGGAGAAGGGGTCCACCGCAAAGCCTTCCGCAGCAAAGTGATGCGGGGCCTCATGCCCGTCTTCCAGCCTGGCCACGCCTGTGTGCTCAAGGTACACAATGCCATCGCCCATGGGACCAGAAACAACGATGAGCTCATTCAAAGGAACTACAAACTGGCTGCCCAGGTGGGTCCGTCTGCCCAAAAGGTATCACTTCAGGTATGGGAGAGACCCATGATAACATGTGATGAAAATATCACACTGAGAATTGATAGGAGTGTCTCCAAAAGGGTGTTTTTCTTCTTTCTGGGTGCAGTGATAGGGCACCCCTGGATTAAGGCTGAATGCTGGCAATCACTTCTCATTCTCAGGAGGAGTGTCTCGGTCTCAGGCCGGCCAGTTGGGATCCAGCCAATGCCTGGAGACACCTCACCAGTTCTGACCTGGGATGTGATTATTTCTGTCCATGGGAAGTCCCATGAGATACCTGGGGGGTTGAATCTACTTGGACACAGGGTGATATGGAAAGAGGCGTTCTAAGCTCCACCATATGCCAGGATCCCCAAGGACAGATGAAATTGGCACTAGTTTCTGGAGTGTTTTGTTTTGGTTTGTTTTTTGGAGAGAGAGGAGGGTGAAGTGTATTCAGAAAAGTCTGTATTTGTCTTGTTTCCTGCCTTCTTAAGTTTGGTTCAACGTCATCTTATAAACTATGAAGAGATTGACCCAAGTCTCCGGCTGAGTTCCCACCTCTCTATGCTATTGAGTCATAGACACTTGAGGTGAGGCGGAGAGAAGAGAGCATTAACTTGCCCCCACCTTGATCCATGTGTGAGGGCACTTCAAAAAGTTCATGGAAAGATTTGCATTATCTTTTAATTCTATTTTTCCATGAACTTTTTCCATGAAGTGCCCTTGTATTTCAGTCATGATACCAGTACTGGCTAAGCTGCCAGGAGAGTTGGGTCTAGCTCTTTCACAAACTATGTGCCCTTCTTATTTTTTCCCATTAAATTAATAGGTTAAACTTAGATGAATCTCTCAGATACTGTCAAACATTAACCATCCATGATTCTCAGGTGTGGCAATGTCACGTGGGACTCTTCTCCGAGTATAGGAGTTTGCCAATTGCTTTCTTTTCTCCTCTGAATCCACCCCTCTTCTTTCTTTCCTTTCACTGAGTATTCCTTCTATCTAAAGTATGACCCAGTCATGGAAAATCCCCCAGCATCCAGACTCCCACGCAGAAAGGCCCCACAGAGTAGGAAGCAGAATCCACTTTGCTTTTCCTAAGCCAGAAATCTTGTCAAGGTGTTTATTATTTACTACTCAAATTACACCTTTGGAAAGGAATTGCAATGGGAGATGTCACAGGAAGCCCAGCAGGGCCCGAGCACTACCTAACATCATGTGAGGGGCAGTCCCCTTAGTGTAGGGGTGGACTTCAGCCATGCTGGTTCTAGAAATTTTATAGCTCAGGGACAGCTGACCTCAAAGACCTCTTGACCTTCAACTGGATAGTTCCTTCATGTCTCAGAGCTCCTCTGTAAGTGGCCAACTCTAGGTTGCAATAATTGTTGCCTCTGTGACCCCAGCCAGGGGATTTGGGAATCCATTGCCTTAACCTATATTGGGAAATCTACTGAATAGTCTTTCTGGGCAAGACTCTGTCTGAATTTCTTCTAATCACCTGAATTTCCCATGTGTTTGGGTGATACAGGAATGCTATGTTCAAAATACAGCCAGATACTATGCCAAGATCTATGCTGCTGAAGCACAGCCTCTGGAAGGCTTTGGAGAAGTGCCAGAGTAAGTGCGTTTACCCTGTCTGTGTTACCACCCCTGACTTGCTGAGGACTGGGAGGGCCTGGAGGGATGAGAGGGTGAGAAGGACCAGCAGGACAAGCATTTCGCTTAGTCTCTCAGTCTGTAGTCTCTATGAGGGATCATGTGGCCACTATCCTGTTTCTGGCTGGGTCTCCAGAGGCTTACAGAGAGATACTTGATAAATATTCTTTAAATTTGTGTATGTATATATGGATAGTTGAATGATTGACTAGATGGACTGACGGATGAATGAATGGATTAATTCATTCAATAAATGAAACTACCACGTTAAATAGAAAAAGAAACGGTATCTACTCTCATGGATATTACATAGTCTAAACAATAAGCAAATACAAGAGAACAAGAAAACATCGCAAAACAATTAGTCCTATGATAAAAATAAGATACAGCGATGCATCAGGGAAGAGTGGACTGGGTGATCAGAAACACAGTACCCGCTTCCTAGAATCCTACAGAAATAAATTGCACAGACTACTTTTATCCACTCATTGCCTAAATATTTATTGGCCCAAGCAAATTTGGGGGGAGTCTGGAGCTTGTGCTGGCCATTCTGTTTATCTGGTTGAGATCATATTTGCATGCTTAAGTGGAAAGAGAAAGCGCTGTACCAGTGCACGATGGAAATTTCAGACAGAGCAGCCATTTATATATCAGTAAAAATAACAAGAAGAAAGAAGGAAGGAATTCTTGTCTATATCGTCTCTGTTAACTCACAAAGTGGGGAAAATACTTTCCCTGAGGCAGTATGATGGGCATATCATGGATAAGGTTTAATACTTTCTGCTCTTTGTCAATAAATGCTTAACATACTTATTTCTCAGCAACTTCAAGAAAATTAATGTAATGCAAAGAAAACCCACTTAAATTGCTTTTCTGTCACCTGGACAGAGTTAAGGATTTGTGTTGTAAGAACTCGCCCATTCTTTTTCTTAAGTCCCCCCCTCTTCCCAGTCTCTGTCCTCTTCAGTCCTTCCTCAAGGAAGGGAAGATTGAGCCCACTCATCAGTCCCACCACATACACAACCCCAGTGCACTGCGGCGAGGACAGACCCGAGTTTCATATGGCTTGACTCTAACACTATTTGGGACCCTTTATGAGGAAAAGAACACCAAACTATGAAAGACCAGAGTGATCTCTAAGTTTGGGTCTGGCCACCAAGTTGTTCAGGATTGTCCTGTATGTTTACCTTTAAAGATCCTGGCTTAAAACCATTTTTGAGGCATCTTCATTGAAGGGCTCTTGTGGGACTTTTACAAAGAAGATCGACACCAACCATCACACCCCCGTCGAGTTTAAGGCAGGGACAAATGAGCTGTTCATCTAAACTTGAGATGCCTGTTAGACATCACATGGAGACAGTGAGTAGACCCAGGGAAATGTGAGTCCGGAACAACCAGGAGAGGTCTGGACTGGAGATAGAAGTGTGGAAGTGGTCTGCATATGAGGGGTGTTTAAAGCAAGGAGGTCACTAGGGAGGGTGTGCAGAGAGAGAAGAGCTGTCCCAGGACATGTCAGAGTCCAAAGGTTGCGGAGATGAGGAGGAACCAGGAGAGGAAACAGAGAAGAGGTAGCCAGAGAAGCAGAGGAAAACCAAGAGGAAGTGGGCTGCTGGAAGCCACGGGAAGGTGTTTGAGAAAGAAGTGAGAGATCAGCTATGTCCAGAGCTGCTGAGAGCTAGCAAGGCAAGGGCTGAGAGAAGCCATTAGACAGAGCAACATGTTGGTTGTGATGCCATTGGCAGAAGCTTCGTTAGAGAGAAAGCCCCTGCGGGAGGTGCAGGAGAAAATGGGAGGGAAGGGGTCTGAAACGGTGAGTCCACAGCGGATTTGAGTTTTGATGCAAACTGTGAGCCAGTAGCTGGAGTGGGCTGAGGGTCATCATGCTGTGTACAGTTATTACAGCACACTGCTGTGCTCTTGGGAGTGGCTCTGCAGAGGGAGCTATCGATGGGGGGACAGTGGGGAACAAGCGCTGGAGCAGTACCTTGAGTAGTGAGGGGAGCTCGGATCCAGAGCACGAGTAGAGAGGTGGGTCAGGTAGGAGCAGGGACGGCTCGTCACAGTGCAGGGAGGGAGCATGTGGACATGGACCTCGGAAGATGGGGACAGATGGCGGGGGCAGCTTTTAGACGTTCTTTTCTGATTGCTTCAGTTTTCACAATAAACAGGAAGCTAAGAGTGAGCTTGGGGAAGGAGATGCGGGTGATCGGAGGACAGAGAAGCAGGTATGAAATAATCATCGAGGATGATCTAACAGTGAATGCATTAATGCTGACACATACACCCGGGGTCTGATCAACTCTCCACTTCCCGCAGCCTTCATTATTGCGTAGCCTCCCTGTGGGCTGCCTGCTTCTGCGCTTGCCCCCCACAGCCTGGTCTCTACACAGTGACAGTGATCCTTGTAACACAGGGGTCTGAGCATGTCCCTCCCTTGCCCCAAACCCTCCAATGGCCTCTCCTCCAACTCAGTACAAAGTTTTCCACACGGCCTACCGGGTCCCCGAGGCCTGGCCTCCTGCTCCCTCTCTGCCCTCGCTCGCCTCCTGCCCCTCTCCCCCCTGCTCACTGCTCTCCAGCCACACAGGGCCCTTGCCACTCCTTGAACCTGCCATGGAGCCTTTTCCACTTGCTGTTCCTTCTGCCTGGGATGCTCTTGCCGTAGATATCCTCATGGTCCCCCCACCCCTCACCCACTTCCTACAGGTCTCTGCTCAAATGTTCTTTATTAATTAGCAAAGACTTCTCTGACCCCGCTAAATAAAATAGCAGCCCCTTCTCCACCCCTGTGCTACCAAACTCCTTTCCATGGCTTTATTTTTCCACCTAGCACTTAGCAACATACAGTTACTTGTTTGTTGTCTGTCTCCTTCATTTAAATGTAAGATCCATGGTATCAGAGTCTTTGTTTTCTTTACTGCTGTTTTGTGGAAAGCACCTGAAAGAGCATCTGACACGTAGAGGCTACTGAGTCAATATTTGTTGACTGAACAAATGGAAGGAAAGAAGGATCAACAGATGGATGGGTAAATAGAAAGAAGGAAAGATGGATGGATGGATAGATGGATAGATGAAAGGCAGGAAGCCTGGCTGGATGGATGGATTACGACCAATGGGTCATTAAGATATGACTACAATGAATATATTCATTGCTACATAAGCAATTAGACTCCATCCCAGGAAAGGATTTCTAACCAACTCTAAAAACAGGTAAAAGCCAGAAACATGTACTCTTACTCATTGAGTAATCATTGGAGGGATTTTTAGTCTAAATCTAATGGAACTAGGAGATTGATTCTACAGCTCCCTGTTGCTCCAGGTGAGGATAGAAAGCACCAGTAGCGTTTCTTCCCATCTGAGAACTTGATGTGTGCCTCTGTTCTCTTCCTTGCCAGGATCATTCCTATTTTTCTTATCCATCGGCCTGAGAACAACATCCCTTATGCAACAGTGGAGGAGGAGCTGATTGGAGAATTTGTGAAGTATTCCATCAGGGACGGGAAGGAAATAAACTTCCTGAGAAGAGAATCAGAGGCTGGACAGAAATGTTGTACCTTCCAGCACTGGGTGTACCAGAAAACAAGTGGCTGCCTCCTGGTCACGGACATGCAGGGTGAGGGGAGCAGCTTGGCCCGGGCTGCAGGGACGCTGTGGGCCTGCGGTGTTCCTGGGACAGGATGGGGAGAGGGTGGGTGGGGAGGGGAGGTGGCAGTCTGCTGGGTGCCTTTAAACACCTTTACCTGCAGAAGGGGTTACTAATGTCTCATCAGAAACAAGACTTGACAAAGGAGCCTGAAATGACCAGCCAAGTGGAGTAATAATGTTCATGTTAATAATTTATGCCAATAATGCCTTCCTGTTACAACGGGTTACCAGAGATTAGCTTTATTGTTATATATTCAGTGGGTACAAACTCGGAAGTATATATGAAAATCCAGATGTAGCAAAAGATAAATTAAGATGTAGTATTTGGGCCAGCCAGTTAGCTCAGGTAGTTAGAGCGTGGTGCTGATAACACCAAGGTCCAGGGTTCGATCCCTGTACTTCCAGCCACCAAAAAAAAAAGATGTAGGATTTTGTTCTCAATAGGTGAAAGGGTCTTTAGAATGCTTTGGACTTTAAGCTCCCCTGGTGAATTTACAGTATTTTTCAACTTATACACAAATTTTTAGGAATACCATTTCCTGTATGAAGACGGAATGTCATAATTAGGGTATCCCCAGAGAAAGACCAGAGACGACAAGTATCTGAGTACAAATCTGTAGCTTATTTGGGAGGGAATCCCAGGAAACACTAGTAGGGGAGTGGGGAAGTGGGACCCAGGAAGGGAAGGCCAATAGGTTTGTTGTTACGCAGCCAGTTTCTGCTGTGGGCAACTGGTACTCACTCTGCTGGGAGCCTGGGGAGAACACACTTCTCAGAATCATCCCGTCTCAGGAGCGAGGGGGCAGGGATGTTTGCACACCAGCTACCATTGCCATGAGTGGCAAGCTGCTCCTGGTGGGGCATTAACTCCCTTGCACTCGCCATCTGCCACATGGGCAAGCCAGGCTGGTCAAGACACGATCAGAGGAAGTTCTCAAGACAAGAAATGCTGGTGGTGGCACCTGGAGGTGGAGCCAGGTGCACAGAAGTGGCCAGGGTGAGGGCAATGGGTGGGGCACCAACAGCTTCTGTCGCAGGGGTTTCCCTATTCCTTTTTCTTCCCAAATAATAATGCTGTTAAGAAAAACCTGAACTACACTATTGTAGGCCTGCTAAATATCAGACCGTCCTATTCAAGGATCCCCAGCTAGCTCTAGCTGGAGCAGGGTGGTGAGCAAGACCCCTCTGGGTTCTGTTCCCTGCACCGACACTTCCTGGCTGTTAGATTTGGGCATATTACTTAACCTCTCTTTGCCTCAGTACTTTCCACATGGGGTAGTCGTGAGGATTAAATGAGAGAGTAAAACATTTACCCCAACACTGTCATATAATAAATGTTCCTACTTTTTAACTCCCTGTTTTGAAATAATTATAAACTCACAAGAATTTGCAAAAACATACAGAGAATTCCCTACGTACAGTTCACCAGCTTCACCTACATAACTACAGAATGTGATCAAAGCCAGGAGATAGACATTGGCACCATATAACTACGTAAACTGCAGACCTTCCTTAGACTTCACCAGTTTTTGTATGCACTCATTTTTTTCTATTATTTTTTATTTAATCTTCATCATAACCCTGCAAAGAAGATATTGTGATCCCCATTTGTCAGATAAGAAAACTGAGGCTTGGAGACAATGATTTAATTGCCTGCTGTCACTCAGTAGTAAGTAGAAGGGTCCTAGACTCCAGCCCACATTTTATGACTCTGAATCCTAAGCTCTTTCCACTAAACCACAAATTAACAAACTTGCAGGAGATTTGCTTCTGACCTTTGCAAGTGTCTCCTGATGTTAGAAAGCTCCAGTGTGCGCACCATCCCTCCCACTCCCGAGCCCTTGGAGGGACACCAGGCAGGCCAACTGGGAAGTGCATCAGTCTTTCACATGGGCCCATCTGTACGCTTAAGGCAGCATCTCTGCTCTCTCTAAAGAGACGTTGCTGCCACACACACACACACACACACACACAAATGTGGTCTTTACAGACAGCTACTTATTCTATTTAGACTCCAGCTGTGCAATTGATGCTGTCCCCTGTCTTTCCTCCTGCAGAGTTAATTTTGCATTACACATCGTTCTTCCACCGAAAAGCAACACCCTAGAGCTTCATGCACTGCTAGTTTCACTCCCAGGCACTAGTAAACGACTGTAGTGGAACGTTACATCTCTTGGTAAATGATGTGTGCAGTTTAATGTGTTGGCACGGTGTTTTACAACAGTGTTTATTTCCTCTCTGCTGCTGGGAAAATTTTTTCTTGTCATCGTCATTGTAGCATGAGATGGCACATTCATTTCCTAAGCAATCCCCACTTTTTATGATGATACAGAGACACTGGAATTAGGATGAAACAACCAACCAGCCCAAATTCAACTATCACTTTCTTGACGTCTTAAAAGTTCTCCTCTCCCTGGCTGCATTCGTTTATTTATAGGATAGTGCCAGGTCCTGTAGGTTTCTGGGGTAAAAGGCAAGATGTGATTTGGACCTAAGACCTACACACACTGGTGAGTCCACTTGGGTTTCTAAGAAGCTGTCATCCAGAAGACCTGAGAACTCAAATTCTGGAGAGGGGACTCCTGAGGCTGCCGACTTCCTTCCTTCCACCAGAAACAACCTGTAGCTTACTGTTCTCTCCAACTCATTTTGATAGCTGCACACTAGAATTTAGATTATTATCCTCTAGAGACTCTTAATAACCTTGGTTGAATTGCTGGCAAATTATTAAACCAAGAGAGAGACGTTTCCTTTCAAAAATTGCATTCTATTTTTCTAAACTGTAAATGACAGTTGGTAATTTCCCTTGAGAAGCAAGGGAAAGCAATTCCCCAAGTTCAAGGACCTTTTGCCAAATGACTTTGTAAAATCACACTTCTATGCAACTTAGAGCTGTAATTTTTAAATACAACCTTCCATGAAACAAGATGTCCATAGAGGGCTTTTGCAGTTTGGTGTCTTTTTCTTTTTTTTTTGAAAGCATGGCTCCTGTGATAAAAGCTATGTGAAGCATATTTCTACATATGTTTGAGTTGTTAGCAGCTTTGAAAGAATGAGACTGATTAGTTACCAACTGTGAAAGAGGCTTTCAGAATGCTCACTGGTTCCCCCAAATGCCGTGTCTAATTGAGCTCACAGGTGCACTGAAGAACAGCTGGGCTCATTGCTTCTGTCTGACCAGCCAGCCTGAATAACAGCGTGGCCTGTGTTTTTGCCATGCTCCAGGTGGCCCCTGCTGAATCACACATTAACCCTGCAGCATTCCTTTCCCAGGCCTTAGAACACAGCACTCATAGGAGTAAAGAATCATGGAGCATGATTCTTTACTGCCACCAGGCTGCCATCAGATCTCATCCTCAGGGCTGGCTTTGGGGGGATGCTGGTTCCTTCTTCCACAGCCCAGACTGGTTTCTAGGCTGTCAGGCCCCTCCGTGGGCAGGTCACCTGCTGATGGTGGGGAATAGCAGTGCTCACAGCCTGGTCCATGTAGGAGAAGAGTCAAGGGTAAGAGAGAAAGGGTCAAGACCCATGCCTGATGTCCAGCAGGTCCAGACACACTGGATGGAGTGGCACTATGGGTCCCTTGCTCTGTGATAAAAAGTCACTGGATTGTATGGGTGAGGTCATGTCAGAGGTCCACTCAGTTGAGGCAAGTGCCAGAGCCACCAACTTAGGGGGGCAGGAACAAAATTGGTACCTGATTGGGGGGAGGAGATTCTGGAAAGGCCTAGAGGCCATCCCCACGCTGGGCTTCAGGGAGGTGCCGTTACTTCCTGCTAGACCGGGAGCCTTAAGGATGCGGGCTGAGGCTGGGGGCAGAGTGAGAGAGGTTGGCACTTTTCTAGTGCAGAAGGGGCACCAGCTCTTGCCCTGCCTCACGTGGGAAGACGGTAGGATTGTCCATTCTCTTCGAACCCCAGTTCCCTAGCTACTCTCCCCACCACTCCTGCTGGGAAGGCAGGAGTCAAAAGACTCCTGCGTGCTGGGGCTCCGAGCAGGGGAGCCTGCAGCTCTTTGCTGAACTGGAGTGGGAAGCTCAGGTAGCTGTTTTGTGGTTTGGGTTTTGGTAGCCTCATCCCTCCCACTCAAACCTGGTTTAATGGGTAGAGGTTAGGTTAAGTGTTAAAGGGTCAGACCATGGGTTCCGAATGTCGGTGTCCCAGGCCACTGGTTAGAGGTCTACATAGAACTCAGGAGTGTTTGCCTGGGTCTGAAGCTGAGCCAGGACATCTTCAGTCCTGGATGGGAAAACTGTCTTTATGGGAACGGGAAACTGCACATCTGGAGTCTGGCTTTGAACAGAACAAAGGCTGCCTTGAACTTTCTCACTGTTGACAGTGACCTCCCCAGCCCACACCCCCTCCTTCCACTGGGAAGAGTTTCCACTTTCAGTGAGGAATAGGCACCAGACCTAAGCCCAAATCAGAGCATTTCTGGGGACAGCACTCATGGGAAAGTGACAAGCCCCAGCTCCACTCACGGAGTGCTGGCTGCCTCCTCCATTATGGGGCTGGGTGGGCTAGGCTGGCTGAGGACATTTCCAGAGCTGGAAGGCCTTGGGTTGTCTGACCACATGAGGTTGACATGCCTGATCTGTGGCACTGGAGGGCCTGCCTTTGCCATTGTCACCCCAAAGTGGGATGCATGTCCAAAAGGCTGTCAGAGGGCTCTGGTGTTGGAAACCAGCAGAAAAGCACACATTTACACAGGCAGGGAAATAATGACGGGTTGTCACTACCTATTCCCTGGGGATAGATGGCCTGTCCTTTCTGAGGATCCCTGAGTAACACACACTCTGTTTTTGCTCTCTCTTCCTACAGGTGTGGGAATGAAATTAACTGACGTTGGCATAGCAACACTGGGGAAAGGGTGAGTAGGAAAATCGAATGCATATCGTTCAGCGCAGGGCTTCCGAGCGAGCACCTCCCAGCAGACCCTGCTGGGCTGATGTGGGCAAAGTGGATTTCTTGTCCTGACCGTGGATGACAAACATTCTTGGGACAAATTCAGTTCAATTCCCTCACTTTCATAAAGTATTTATGGGCTTTATTCTCGTTGGGAAATACATTTGCTTCTTAACATTGAAACAAACAAGAACTCTTACAAACGCATTTCGAAATTAATTACTAACAGGAGTGCCACGGGGAGAAAAAATGCTAACGTTATTGGGATGTTTCTTAACTGTGAATATTGCATTTTTCTGCATTTAATATCTTCACTATTAAAAGCTTCTCAAAAACACGCATATACATTTTTGCAATTGACTGCCGTGAATTCAATTTATACATTTTAAATTTACTTTCTTCCCCACTAGTACTTTAGGCAGCTCACAGACTCCCATGACAATTACAGGAGCAAGTGGCTGTCACAGAGCTGTGATGAGTTACTTGTTTTTGATGGCTTTAATTTCCTAAGTTAGGGAATTGCTTTCATCAGTGTGAGGCACATCCAGATGATGCGATGATGACATTTTACCAGGGGGATCTTTTTACCAAACTGTCCCTTCTCACTTGTGGTTCTTGGTGGAGATGTCATGTGTGTTGCAGCCACGATGCCTTTGCCTGCTACAGCTCTTCCCACATACTCAGCCCATCCATAAGGAGGAGGAAAAAGGGGGCAAACGACTTTTGGAGGAGATGGCTTCTATTTGAAAATGTACGTGTTGTTATTATTTAGGTATGGTAAGGCCAACAGATCAGAAGACGACTGTCACTGAAAAGATAGTTTGTTACCCACAGTTCCCAAGAGGAGGGTGCATGCCATGCCATGGGGGGCCACCTGAGAAACGTCAGGGTCAATCAGGAGGCAGAGGAAGTGAGGGGAAAACCTGGGCAAGAATTTTTATCAGGGTTTCCTAAGGAAGGCATGGGTGAGACAAGGTAAACAGGTTTAAGATTGGCCAGTCTGAAGTTTTCCAGCAGGCTCTGGGGTGTAGAGACTATCCCCAGAAGTCTGGCACCTGCCCAGGGTGCTTAGGGCAGGCTGAGAGCCTGATGGAGGAGGTGGGGGGGGGTGCGGGCTCTGGACTGGTTGGTTTGCATATGGAAGGTGCTCCAGAAGGCGGGTCATTTATCATATCTAGAAACTGGCTAGTCCTGAGAGGAACAGTCTTTCCAGGGCCAGGAAGACCCCAGATGTCAAAGCATAGAAACACAGAAAATAACATGGCGTGATGAATACAGCTTACTCCCCCGTGGCTGGGAACAACTTATCTATGTGAGCTTTCTGGCTATTTCAGACTATCAGCCTCAGTTATGCTCTAACAAATACACTGGTTTTCAGCTTTAATGAAGGATGGCAGAAAGTAGAGGGATGTAAAGAAAGTGGAAAGAGGACCACTCTTTCTTTTAAACTCCAAATCAATAAGTCTGGTTCACAAATTTCTTGCTGGTTGCACAAAGCTGTTAATTTGGTTTTAGAACCAAGATGCAGTTTGGATATTTTGCCCTGATGTGGCTCATTCTGAAAAACTGCTCAGTGATAATAAAGTTTTATGTTGGAACTATCTCCATGCTTCTCCCCCAGTGCTGCCCAGAGCCCTGACTGTCATAGGCTGCAGGAAAGTTCTTTGGTCATGGCCTTGGGCTTGTGAAGAGAACATTGGGAGTGGTGATGACATAGGGGGAGGTATGGACGGGTGTTTTAGAGAGAGACTTGGCTCAAGTCTTGGCCCTGCCACTCAGTTTTGCTTCTCCTGGTGAGAGCCTTGCTTCCTGGTGTCATGGACATTTGTCTAGCCTACCTGATGAGGAGGGTGACTATACATCCCAGTTTTCCCATAACAGACCACTTTATGCCTGATGTCCCTGCATCCCATCCAGTTTAGCATTTGTCCCGGACAAGTGTCTCCCTTTAGAAGATGAAGTATATGGTGTCCTATTTATGAAGTCCTCTGGACCCCAGAAGGATTTCCCAAGGGGACTTTTTTTTTTTTATAGACTCCATGTTCTCTTTAGGACATTGCAAATTCAGGCATGGCCCAGGTCTGGTTTGAATCCTGGCCTCTCATTGGACCAGCCATGTAACTGTGGGCATGTGACTTTAAGTTCTCTCTTTTTTTTTTTTTTTCCTTTTTGTCTTTTTTTGTGACCGGCAACGGATCGCAATCCTCAGTGTCGCACCTGTACCAGACCGGGACCGGCAATGGGATCACAACCCTCGGTGTTGCTCCCGCACCTCGCTCAGCCAGTGAGCGGCCGGTCTGTATGTGGGATCCGAACCCTCGGCGGGAGCGCTGCCACACTCCCAAGCAGCGCACTGTAGCAGTGAGCCACCGGGCCGGCCCTGACTTCAAGTTCTTAAAGCCCCTGATCTACAGAATGGGCACACTAAGGCTTGCCCTGAGGAGTCCCTCAGTTAATCTGTGGGTCGGTGTGAACTAGATAAATATTAGTTTTCTTTTCCTTCTCATGCCTCAGCCTGACACCATGGTAGCAAATTTCACACAGTTATTTAGAACAACTTTCTACCAAACAAAGCAGAAACCTGCCCAAGAAGCTTCAAAAACTTAGATGGACTTAAGAGCGTGATTAAGACATCTTTTAAAAGCACATCAACAGCTTCCAGGAACCCAGACCAACTGAAAGCTTCAAATGGCGCATTTTTTCTCCTAACTGAAAAAGAAATCCAATCCCTTGGTTTTGTTCTTGGCTTTAATGTGACTTATCTGGCCTGGGGCAGCTGCCCAAGAGCCATTGGAACTGATGTCTGGAGCTCAGTGCGAAACGCTGTCTACAAAGTGTTACTTACCACCTTCCCACGCAACGAGAGGTTAGGGAGGAGGAAGTGGGAGAAGGGAATTCTGAAGCCTTTGAGAACTTTAGAAGGGATATTAGATCATCTTGTCCATTGCTGTTGGGTTTTTTTAAAAGCTTTTTAAAAAAAACTTTATCTTTTAAGCTACGATTCTTTTCAAAAGAAACACATCTTAGAATCCCAGTTTGAAAACTGATAAGAGGGGGAACTTCTCCAGAGAGTAAAGGGTGGCTGAGAAGTCTCTTTAGAGGCTCCTTGGAAACCCTCTGTTCTAAAGTAGAAACCAACGACATGTCCAACCTCCTCACTTAACAGGAGGAAGAGCAGGTACAGGGCCGGGGGCAGCCTGCTTGCAGGCAGGAGTTCGTAAGTACTTACTGCTTGAAGGGGCACAGAGCCAGATGAGTGCCTGGAGGAAAAGGGACAGATCCCCAACCCCGGGAGGTGAGATTGCATTGAAGAAACTCTCCAGTGAAAGCCAAAGCTGCAAAATGGAGCTAGAACAATGGCCACAGACTTGGAAAGGGTTCAGATTCAAAGGTGCTTTTGCATACAGGAAGAGAAGAGTCCAGATGGGAAGCAAACAAGCAGAGGGAGAAAGCAGGGAGAGGGTTGCAGGCTGCAGAGGGGCTTCCAAAGCCAGCAGGAGACAAGACTGAGAAGTAAGGTGCATTAAGCATGTTACATTCTCTTTATTCTTAGTAAGCATTCCGTGCATGCTTAGTTCATCCCTGATGGAGAGATAGATTTGGGAGTTCTATAGAAGGCTGGTGCTTGGCAGCGCTTGGCTGTAGGGAATGGCACCATCATAAGAAGCACTGCTCTGTGTCATTTAAAGAAAATATTCGCTTCTGTTTTAATCTGGGCCATATTTTTGGCTGCTGACGCCCTAGTAATGTAACCTGTTTTGCTGTCTTGTTTAATGAAGACAAAGGTTGTGATACTATTTTGAGAGTAAATAGTTGTTTATAATCTTATCAAAGAAGCCAGGGAACTATCATAACTTAGTCATTTAATTCATCTTCACTTGGTAGTATGATCCTTAAAGCAGAAGTATGTCATATTTCTCCTGGGAATCAGCAATATGAATATGTCTGGAGACGCACCACCTGCACCTCCGTACCCTTAATCTTTTGGCAAAGGTTGAGTACAAAAACTTCAAGTTACATAGAATGGCAAACAGGATTGTTTTGACATCCAATAATCGATTTTCTAGGTAGACCCAGATACTAACTGGATTGTTGAACAAATTTTTGATTTGAAATTGCTCAGCCATTTAGAGTTCTCTGAAGGAGACAATGAAAAATGCCAAATTTTATAACCAGAGATTTGGAAATTTAACCTAATTAACCCCAAACCAATCTAAAGTGATGCGTGCTGGGGAACAGACCTCTCATGCCACCCTGGGCCCTGCAAACCCTCGCCCTTCCCCAGCCAGCGTGAGAGGCGGGGGTTCTGGGGGGGGACGGCGGGATTGCAAATCAGCCACCAGAGGGAACCAGAGCCAATACTTTGCCCTCTGTAGGCTCCAAAAGAAAAAGCCATATTGCTGAATGGAAGGAAAACACAGAGAGGTAGCATGAGCAGACTTCATGCAGTTGGTAAGCACTGGGCTAAAGTAAGACGGATATGAATAGCCGCAAAGGACACTTCCCAGAGTGGCCGCTGGCCAGCACTGCGTCTCTACCCTTGGAAGAGAGGGCGATGAGCCTTAGGACGTGTGGCATGTGTCAGGCATCCCTGACATGGAAGCCAGATTAAGGAGACCCTGGACAGAGTCATGAATGACTTGTTCCCTGAGGAGGGGCAAGTGTGAGGTGACAAGGGCCCACGTTAAGGAGGACACAGGGGACGGTAGGTACCCTGACAAGGCAGACTCTATGGATGCCTGCGTGCCCAGCTCAGGCCCTCCAAGCCACGAAAAAGAGGAAATACTAAAATCAACTCCCACGTTCGGCCACACTGGGTTCCAGAAAAAAGGCTCTGCCTTCAATGCCAAGGGCAGCCCGCTGGGGCACCCTTGTGTGCAACGGGCCGACGGAGGGGACAAAGTCGCCTGGGATGCTGTGCCCAGGCACAAGTCCCAGACACCACGTACCTGGAGAGGAAGGGCC